ATGGGAAAAAGCTTGAAATAGGAAGATAATTATGTAAATCGCAGTAATCCAGCTTGTGAACCATTTTTGAGAAAGAACTTTAAAAATTTGAAGTAAAAAAGAACTTAATTAGAAGACTCGAAATCATGACATACAAATATCATACCAAAGGCTTCAGGTATTCAGGTTTTACTTATCCTTACTACCCCTATAGTGCCATGCCAATCTGACGTTTCTTTTCCCTTCCTCCTAGTAACTCTGTTGTTCTTAGCTACTATAGTTTTTAGTAGTTTGACTACTTTTCACTATCTTTTATATAACTTATAAGGTTTAATTTGTTATCCCTCCATTTGAAGCTTCTAATCTAAAACTATTTTTGGTTCTCTCTTCTTTCTATTTTTTTGGTCTTATTTTTCATTTATTTTCTATTTTCCTTTCTCATAACTTCTTGCATGTCTTAACTTATAATCAGAAACTGGCAAAGGACCTCAGAGATCCCCTTGTTCAGCCTTCCCATACACACTTATTAATCCCTTTCTAAAAACGTTTTTCTTTTTGGCTCTGACAGTCACTGTCTCTCTTCTTTCTTTTTTTTTTTTGAGTTGTATTCTCACTCTGTCACCCAGACTGGAGTGCAGTGGCTGCTCCCGGCCACCGCAGCCTCGACCTGCTGGGCTCCGGCGATTCTTCCGCCTCAGCCTTCCAAGTAGCCGGAATTACAGGCATGCGCTACCACGCCCGGCTGATTTTTTGATTTATTGTAGAGATGAGGTCTTGCTGCCCAGGCGGGTCTCGAACCCGCGGGCTCAGGCAATCCACTCACCTCAGCCTCCCAAAGGCACGGGATTACAGGCTGAGCCACCGAGTCCAGCTCTTTTCTTTAACAATAAATCTTAAGAGCTAATAGAAGACAGCCATACAATTTTCAGACTTTAAAAAAACGTAACTTAAAAATCAGTCTTGATTATACCGATGATAAAATTAAAAGATAATGAAAAACACACAAATAAAAACAACTATCCAGTTCCCCTTCCCATTTTGTTGTCATTTTAGAGTTTCTCAAACAGCATTATTTGAGAAGCAAGGGAAATTAACCAATTTTGAAGAAAGTTTCAGCTTTATTAAAAAGTTAGAAAGAGCACTTAGTTAAAAAACAGCACTGCATTTCTCTTATAAATGAATAAATAGGTTATAGTGAGTCCTGAAATATACCTAAAGGAGACTATATATTTTTAAAAAATCTGCCTACCAGAAATCCTTAAACTCAGTCTTTCCTCACTTTTGTTTCCTGTCTTTGTTTCGGCTAGTGTTTTGAAAGTACAGTATGAAACTAAAGTGGAAGTGTGAAGGAGGGAATGAGTTAAAACCATTCAGTGCTTAGAAGTAACCAGTTCATATCCATGGTTTTAAAAAATACTTTTAATAGTTTTTAAAATAAGAAATCTTACAATGGTTTGTGTCTTACTTTAGGCATTATAGTACTTAAACCACAAGTAACTATAAGCTTTAGATTTTCTTAGACAAACATGTATTCTTCCTTATCACATCCAAGTGGGCATTACTTCAAATTATTGGCATTTTAGATCATTATTTTGAAAAACCTAGATTCCAGTAATCACTGTACCTAGAAACAGAAAATAATGGAACAAAAAGCAGCACTGAAAATTAGAGAAAATGAGTCAGAAACAAGGCTGACCAAACTGATTGGTCTGAGGATTGTGATAATGGCATATGGATAGTCTTACTAGTATTTTCCTTTCCTGCTTGGCTGGCCTTACACAGTTAGTCAACTTTAGTACATAGTAAAAAAATCAGTTCACTAGTCATTTAAGGATAAGATCATCACAGTATACTGGATATGAGAAAAGTCAGTATTGTGTGTCAAGCAGCTTGTAAATTTTGACATATACTTTGGCTGAAAGTACAAATTTTGCATAAGTACAACTTTGGCTGAAAGTACAAATTTTGCATAACTAACATGTAAATTAGTAAAAAGCACCTATATAAATACGCGTTAATTGCTGAACACACATAATTTTTAATTTAAATATGCAGAATTTACGTAAAGACCCAAGAATAAACCTCGGCCCAATCATACCCACAGGGACTTCTCATTCCACTCCGGCATTAGAATATTTAATTTTTTCTTTCCATGCCATTTCAGATTCCTCTAACTTTCTGGAATTCTTTATCCACCAAAAAAAAAAAATGGTAATTTCTATTTTATTCTAGTAACAGTGCAACGCAGAAGAAGGGTTTAGGTAGCAGGTTGGTTAGTGAGATGGAGGAAAAAAGGGTGTCACTGTTTTGAGATAATGTCCCTTTTACCCTTAAGCTATATTGTTTAGTAACTCTAGTATCTAAACAAATCCCACAACCAACCTCTCTTGAAGCTTTCTCATCAGTCTCTTTATTTTATTTATTTATTTAATTTTTGAGTTGGAGTCTCACTCTGTCGCCCAGACTGGAGTGCAGTGGCCGCTCCCGGCCACCGCAGCCTCGACCTGCTGGGCTCCGGTGATCCTTCCGCCTCAGTCTTCCAAGTAGCTGGAACTACAGGCACGCGCTACCATGCCCGTCTAATTTTTTGATTTATTGTAGAGATGAGGTCTCGCCAAGTTGCCCAGGCGGGTCTCGAACCCACAGGCTCAGGCAATCCACTCACCTCAGCCTCCCAAGGCGCGGGATTACAGGCTGAGCCACCAAGCCCGGCTTCATCAGCCTCTTTAGAGCATCTGTCCTAGTTACTAGGATAAAATAACAAAGGAAGTTGTTCTTTCCTAAAGTAACTAAAAGTAAACCTAGATTTTTCTCCTGAAATGCAGATGAATCATATGTTTTATGTGTGTGGAGGTGTTATTTATCCCTTAAGTGAAAAGAACCTATTACTTGAGAATTTTAGAACTTTTGTTCTTTTTCCTGTGTCTGTTACTTTACCTATTAATCTGAATTCCCCATTGTTAGTAGTTGTAACTTCAAAGGATTGAATACTTGCTTCTGAGATATAGGCAAAGGTAACTTTTCTAAGTAGGAAAACTAGGAGAGGGTAAGGAGAGCATTTGGAAGCATTTAGCATACTGACCTGCTACTTTCCCTTATTAGGATCTAATAACTTAAAATTCGATTCACTTTTGCGAATGTGTTTATTTACTTCTTCCACTTGCATTTTAAAAATAGGTGTTTACCAAGAGTATTTACTTGATCATTCTCTGTCTCTTCCAAAGCAATCCACTGATTTAAAATGCTTTGTCTAGTCTTACAGCTTGAAATGACCACTCTACTGTGCTGATTTCTTACCGATTTATTACTACGAGTCTTATGGTGATTTCTTTCTGGATGCCATACTTGCCCCTCACATTTTGAAGTGTGAACATATTATTTTTTCTCAAGTCAAAATTGACTCACCATGCATGATTCTTCAATTCTCACCTAAGGTCTATAGTAATTATCGACTATTAATAGTTCCTTTGCAGAATGGTTTGTAATTCTCCCTCACCCCAATTCATTCTATACGTTCCTACAAAGCAACTCCAAGTATAACTCTTTATTCAAAAACGCCAATCGAAAATTATGGGCCTTCTAACAACTGTATGATATGGCTTATGACTAACTTTTCTAATCTGAATTCTCACTATTCCCCTTCACCCAGCTGGTACTCTCCAAAATTCTACTGAACCACTCAAAGCTTTCCATCATGCCATGCTTACATTTTCTCACTATCTCCAAGTATCCAGCATAGTGATTCATAATTGTAAAACAGAGAGGAAAAGAAATTCAGATTGGTAATAAGAGAAGATGGGAGGAGAAATGAAGCTAAACAGGTGGATCCATAAGGCTATCAGAATATAAAATATAATATTAATTAAGAAGCATTCAGGTTTCACACTCCAGATTTCAGTTCTTTCTTATGTTACTTTGTATTAAGAGTATAAACACTTGAGAGCAGTGGCTGTCAATAGGCATTGCTCCATATCTTAGAGGCAATTTCAAAAATCTCTGAGTTTTGGTTATCTCAATTATTGGGGACTGCTACCGGCATTGTTGGACAAAAACCAAGGATGCTTATGTTTTGAAATAAAATGGATGGTTACACACAGTTAAAAAAAAAAGTTCATTCTTTACAACTTTGAGATGTAATGCACAACTTTCTTGAAGGTAAAACCTCTGCTTTTAATCATCAAACATAGAGCTTAATTTCATTTTACAAACAACAACTTTTTGCCATTTTGCTAACAATCTTTTACAAAACTGAAAACAGTTTTGTTTAGAACTTTACTAACAGCTACTTAATATTTAAAAAATCCTATCACAGAAAATGATGTTCCTTACGGTATTCAAATCACCAATAACAGCTTGTCTCTATCTCTTTCTAGACTAATATCTACCCTTTCAGAAAACAAATTTTCCATACCAATGGTAAAGCCTGCTATAGTGGAAACACTAAACCCAAAGCAATAAGTTTGTCATGTAGCTTCCATGTGCTCATGTCCAAAATGATTATGTGCTCTGCTTATCTTAGAGTCATTAGGAGAATCAAACTGATAAAATAGGTAGGAAGTATCTTATAAAATATCAAGTCTTATATGCATTTTACAAGGGAAACAAATCATCAACAATATTTCTGACTAGAAATGAAATAGAGGAAAACAGTCTTAAAAAGACTGTCTTTCGCATGTTGATAAAAGTTACAATGTAGAAATTTAATAGCATACAGGATTGGTAGTATATGGACACTTAATAAAACCAAATTGTAAACCTATGCTATCTAGAACAGCAGCCACACATGCACTTAAGTGTAAAATATATGCTAGATTTAAGAACTTAGTACAAAAAACAAAATATATTGAAAATAATTTTGTGTTACTTTTTAAAGTGGCTAGTAAAAAAAATTCAAATTACACTTTGTGTTTGCATTACATTTCTCATGGACATTCTGCTCTCAATAAACAATGCACAACAAAACCGATTAATTGCAACACTGCCGCTCTTAGTCAATAGGACAATAAAGAATGTACACTCACTTCATCAGTGAGTTCTCCAAATACTGTTATGACATCTATTAAAAGACTTGCAGTATAGAAGGACTTGATCATGTTTCTGGAAGAGAAAAGAAAGCTGGTCTAGTTAAAATGAAAAACATTACAATGTAGTATTAGTCAGTAGTAGCAATAAGAAAAAAAAAATCCAATGTTTAAAAAAGTCTCTGAAATTAATGTTTTCAATAAAATCAGATTTCAAGAACGCAATAAAAATTCTTTTCTAATCTGTAATTAGGAGAAAGTAACAAGACACATTATAAGTAAATATGCTACTGAAGCTTTTACTGTATGCTTTTGATTTCAGACAATGTTATTAAAGTATTATCAGACTCCATATCAAACCATAATGCATTTATTTGCATTTAAATATTATAATAATGACAAATCATTTGAATGAAAAGAAGTGGATACTTTTTAGATCAACATCAATGGCCCAAGCTGTGATGTTGGCCAAAATCAATACTTAGATGTTACTAAACGTTAAAGAATGGTAAGTTAGGGTGTATTTACTAAGAACATAAGTCTGCCCTAAGTATTTCCCCTTTCAGCCATTTTCTCTAAAAATAAAGACCTGCATTTGTAACCCAAAATCACTGTGAGGTTCTATAAACTAAAAAAAAAGAATCTAAATCATTAATCAGGAAGTCACAGAGTGTTCAATATAAAACTAGGACATTCTGATTATACAGTAACCAAATTCATAAAATAATATTTATTTTCCTCTTTTTTTTACTTACTTGTGAAATCGCCCAGCACGATCTTCATTGTCTGCATACAAAAACATTTTCAAAGCATAATTCTCCAAATGGGCACAACCAACTATTTCTTGAGTAATAGCTTCATTATCACCCAACTGCTTCTTAAGCTAAAATAAAATTAAAGACATACCTTATGGTTTTGGACTCTTCAAAGTGTTTGCTTAAGTACAAATCATCCTAATAATCACTTTAAGTAAATTATTTTACATTCAATAAAAAGATTTATCAATGAAATCTTGCAAAAACAAAGTTGCTCTGCCTCAGCCCAATGTACTTAAAACAAAATCCAATGCTTATAAAATTTAGAAGAAACACTTATGATAACCTGGAAGTATCATTTAGCTCTAAAAGTCAAAATAACCAGGAATAAAAACTATATCCTAGTAACCATGTGAGCTAAGCATCAGACAAATATTTCAAAATAATGCTGTATTACTCAATGCACTATCAGTTATCCTAAAAATAGAATTTGAAAATCTTCTCTAAGCATATATAATCTAAAATTGTAACCAATGACATTTCAGTTTCTTCTGTCAAATATAAAAAAGTAAGGACAGAAGGTTCATCATGTTCTAAAATAGTATGTATGATATAATTGTGAATCCCTTTCCTATAAGAACAATAACTTAAAGCATTTTAAAAACAACAGTCTCTACTTTTTACTCAGTCGTTAGAATAAAATGACATTCTAGAACATCAGATCTTAGTACCATACTGTTTTTTAAAAAATGCTTATTTCAAAGTTGTTATGAAGTAAAAAATTAAATTAAAAGAAGACCTCAGGATTTTTCAGAAAAACAGCAAAGTACTTTTATAATTACTAAAGAATAGGGTCACAAAGAGACTTAAGGTTGGAATTTAAGGAAACTTTGGCTATGATTATCCTGAACAAAAACAGGAAAACACACACACACACACACACACACACACACACACACACACAACATTAGTTTACTATATCCAAATTGCAAAATGGTTTGTAAAGACAGATCTAGAAAAATTTTAGAGAAAGCAAGCCACTTCATCTCATCTTTAACAAAAAATATTTGGCAGAAAAAATTTGAAGTTTTAAAACTGTAATACAAACATTATAGATATGCCCTCACCATGAAATAAACTTATGCTACCTGATACTTAATTTAGGAAATGATAAACTCATGGTGTATCTCTGTAAATGTGATTTAAATTTTGTTTATTATAAAGAACTGTTTGAATTTTGTCTCATTTAAGAGTCTTATTATTTTACCTATTACTGCGATACTGTGAAATTAATAACGATACATATTCTATATAAAATGTCTGATAGGGTTGGGATTTTACAAATATACTGCCATGTGTGAGAAACACTCTCACTGCCGCCCCAAACCCATATCCCAAAAAAGAGAGTACTCAAATTATTTATCTTGCATCCATAGAAACAGCATCAAAAGTGGGGCCAGCTGAATTCCCTCAGTGACCATCAGGCCCACTTTGGGTGGGTCATAGTAGTAGATAACAAGAGCTCGGGATCCTGGGATCAGTATGCCAGAGAGCCATATCAAGTGAGAGAGACACTACTATCATAGCTCCTTAATACAACTAGGCAGTGAAGTTTTGTCTTAGGATATGCCTTGATATGAATAATAACTTTCTGTCAATAACTAAAAATGAAAACAATAAAAACCTCTGGGCTGACTAGTATAAATGGTTTGATGTTGATTTTTAGTATGTCTAAGTTCTGTGTCTCTAAGCAAAAGAAGGCAACTGATAGAATAAGCAGGTTTCTATTTTTCCTGAGTAGGTCACATAACCATATAAAAAAATAAAAAATAAGCCAGAGTTATTCACGTTAAGAGAAAAAATGGCCAGGTAGGCATGGGAGTCACAAGACAGAGAGCCCTGATTACTAAGTATGATTACTATGGCTGGCACTGCATTCTTTAGGTGCTGATACCCAATCCAACCCATTCAGTTTTCCCTAAATAGGCACCTTTATAACGACCTGTGAAGTTACATCAGGTTCAAAAAGGTGACTCCTAAGTTACCTACAACATTTCTTCTAGGAGAGAAAGATGCCTGGATCAAAACAGTGCCCTGGGACCTGGGACCCAGAGTGGGAGAAAAGACAGGGAGAAAGAGAGAGAGAAAGAAAGATAAGCAATCAGTATCATTTCCTTCATTATTTCTTTCACTAAATTAATAGTCTATTTCATTATTATAAGAGATATTTAAGAAGTACCAAATTAATCACCCACATAACTGTATGAGGAAGGATTTGCCACTTATGAATGATGAGTCAAAAATCACCTATAGTAATGTGAAACAAGATATAATGGTATATGCAAACATATCTGAACCTATTTCAATTTATACTTGCAACTCCCTAGTAGAGAGTAAATGAAAAAAAAATTGTGTCTAGTGTTTCCTTAGGTATAATGGCATTGCTGATTTTTGTCAAGGGAAAAAACTAAAATGACAACGTACACAAATGAATAAAATGGCACTCTGAACAAAATCAGAAAATAAGTCATCAGTGCTTAACTTACAGCTTCTAACTGATCCATTAACTTTGATAAAAATTTACGACATTCAGGAGTTTTACTATCAATCTTCATTCCAGTCTGCATTGCATATAAACGACCTACAAAGAAAAAATAAGATGATTTGAACAATCTCATTTTTAAACATCCTCCTCTATATGGAATGTTTAAAATACATGTTTTGCCTAGTAATTTAAAACTCTAATTTACTATGAAATAAATTACAGACATATGTCTGTCTGTAATTTATTTCTTACATTTAACAGTATGTCCTGGAGATCTGTGTCAATGCTAGTGTTCTACAGTATGGATATATTAGTCTAACTGAAGCACATTTAGTTAGCTCTCAAATTTCATTATAAATAATGCTGTGCCACCTACCATACCTCCTTGTATCAAGAGTTCCCTGGGGTATGTACCAAAAGGTGAAATTCCTGGGTACCTTTTTCATTTTGAGAGCTACTCTTAAACTGCCTTCCAAAACAGATTTAGCTGTATCTGCAACATATGCAGTAATCACCCATTTCTCCTAACTCACACAAAAAAACAGCTATTAAACTTAAATTCATGTCAATCTGAAGCTTGAAAGTGCTGCTTGATTTTTCGTTTTCCTAACTACTAAAAAAGTATCAGATATTTGTTGGATAGCTCTACATTCCCCTTTATGAATTAGGAGTAACAATTAAATTAAAAGAAAAAAAAATCTTCTGCCAAATTGATTTGCTTTTTAAACAAACTCACTTGTAGTAATTCTTTACATAGTATGAAGCAGGAATGTAACTTTCACCCCCAAATAAAATCTTGTGAACACTATCCCCATTCCCTATTTTACTTTACTCCTCAGCATGCAATCATCTTCCATTACCTTATCCTGTCTCTATCCCAACTGGAATTCAAACTCCATGATGATGGGGATTTTTGTCTATTTGGTTTGCTGATGTATCCCTGGCATCTAGGACAGTGCTTGGCCCTTGATAAACATTTCCTGAATACATAAATACACGAATGAAAGAATGGCTAATTATGTCCCACAGACTGAAATGCCACTTTTATCATTAATTATCATATATTAAGTTTCCATGGGATAACAGAACCCAATTCTGTATACTGCCTAATCAGCTGTATTAGTCTATTGCTGTTTTATTTACTAGCGTTTTGTAATAGGGCTTGGCATCTCTTAGTTACTCTCAGAATTTCCATTTCAATTATGTCCACCTGACAAAAATCCTCTTTAAAAATGTATGAATAAACACATGATGCAGTTACCTATTTGCTCTGTGTTTTAATTTTAATGGTTTTATCAGAAGAAACATTTTAATGCTTAGGTTTTCAGAGCTATCTCATATTACAGAGCTTGAAGTTTAATTTATTAATGTATGTATTGCCACATATCAAATTTTAGAGTTTGATCCACTCAGTATTAAAGAGAGAAAAAAATGGAGTTGCAAAAGTGCTGTAGAGATTTACTTCTATGTAGTGTACAGCACAGTGCTTTCACTGTGCTGGACATTATTTTGACAGATATTAATTTGAGAAACAAAAAAAAGTACCCTACTTAGTCTAAATAGTCATAGTTTTGATCATAAATGTAACCAAATTTGGTCTTTTTCTCTCTCTTTCTTGTAACCAGCTATTTCTTTAGCAAGGTGCCCTGATCCCTTGCCCTTCTGACTATGTGAGGTTTTCCTCAGTCCTTAAGGTATAGACAGATATACTTTTCAAATCACTTGTATTTCTTTTGAATTTTCCAAGTTTTGTGTCTATCTTAGGTAGCTCTTTTTTGCTAAAATGAACTGAACTCCTGAACCACGTTCTCTCCGTTGAGTTGTCCAGGTCTTTTTTTCCAGAGTTTTTGTTGCATTTCCTTTTTTAAAATGCATCACATGAACTCTTTAGATAATAAATACATTGGTTGCAAATATTATGCACGTTTAATTTTTGAATGTTATTTTAAAACACAAGCTGGACTCGGTGGCTCAGCCTGTAATCCCAGCGCTTTGGGAGGCTGAGGTGAGTGGACTGCCTGAGCCCACGGGTTTGAGACCCGCTGGGGCAACTTGGCAAGCCCTGCCGGGGCAACTTGGCGAGACCTCATCTCTACAATAAATAAAAAAAACTAGCTGGGCGTGGTAGCACACGCCTGTGGTTCCAGCTACTTGGAAGGCTGGAGCGGAAGGATTGACGGAGCCCAGCAGGCCAAGGCTGCGGTGGCCGGGAGCGGCCACTGCACACCAGTCTGGGTGACAGAGTGAGACTCCAACTCAAAAAAAAAAAAAAATAAAAAATAAAAATAAAACACAAAGGTTTAAAATAGCTATGTACTCAAAACTATTTGTGATTTCCCCTATATCCCAACAACTCTAAGCGTAGAAACTTCTGTCTCCAGAGACTTAATATTCAGTTATTATATGATTTTCCTAGGTTTTCCTATGGTTTAATTTTCAAACTTAACCCTTTAACTTGCATTTTCCCTCCAGTTATTGGCACATGTTTCACAACCACTTAATTAATAATCCTCTCTAATAACTTGTGGTTCCTTCCTTATTATTATTTTTAATTTTGGTATTTCCTGGTTATTTGATTTTTTAAATATTTCCTGGTTATTTGATCTCAGATAAAATGTCATCTCTTTACAAGATAATATCTATGAATCATAACATGCTTTTTCTTCCCCTAAATTTAATCTTACCATGTCTTGTTACATTGCCAAAATTTCCTGAAAAATATCAGGTGTCTGCTCTTATTTTTAAGAGGAAGGCTTCTTGTAAGAGTAAGTAATATCATGAAACTGATTCCATGCCAGGTTGTTCATATTTCTCCTTTGAGAGTCACCACCCAAAGCTATGTTGAAGCAGAGGCCTTTGACACCCATATGATTTCAGAGATCAGCAAAACAACTGGCTAGAATGTGAAAAGAAAATATTAGCATTTTTATTGATATCATTATCCCTTTCTTTAAAAATTGCTATTTTTATTTACCTCTTATAATATACTGGGGGTGCCAAAAAATGTATACACATTTTAAAAGATGCTATTTAGGTATTTTATTTTTTATTTTTTTGAGTTGGAGTCTCACTCTGTCGCCCAGACTGGAGTGCAGTGGCCGCTCCCACTCCTGGCCTGGGTATGGGGGCGATGACATTTTTGGTCAAAAACTACTGAACACTCAGTTCAGTGTGGGCAGGTGCACTGTCATGGTGGAAGAACTAGTCATCTGTTTGCCACAACTCAGGACTTTCCTCTAGAATGCAGCAATAACGCTAGCTGGTAAACTGATGCTGACAGGTGGTTCCTTAGTGGAACTTGAGTTTTTCAAGTTTTGTGCCTATCTTAGTCAGCTCTTTTTTCTTAAAACTGACTAAGCTCCCGAACCATGTTCTCTCTGTTGAGTTGTCCAGGTCTTTTCTTCCAGGGTTTTTGTTGCATTTCCTTTTTAAAAATGCATCATATGAACTCTTTAGATAATACAGTGGTTGCAAATATTATGCACGTTTAATTTTTGAATGTTATTTTAAAATACAGAAGCTTAAAATATTTATGTACTCAAAACATAATTCTGATTTCCCCTACATTCCAACAATTCTAAACTTAGAAACTTCTTGTCTCCAGAGACTGTACAGGGGCCAGGGAGCTCACCTTCCAAAAGATAATTCCACTTTTTGGGTCCCCCCTCATACACTGAAGATTTATGTTTAGTTTTTTTTTTAACTCATATGGATAGATGATCAAAAGGTCAAGGAGCACTGCTCTACTGCATTCTCACTCCCCTCAACTATACACTATGATTTCTTGACCCATCTTAGCCCATGCATTTCCCCCCATACTTTGGCGCTTTCTACCAAAACCCCCTACTATGAACTACTGCTTCATAATCAGCATACTCTCCCCTACAACCCAGGTTCCTTCTCCTTCTCTGCCTTAACTAAAACCTGATGTCCCTTGAGGAGATCACATATTTGTGGTCCTTCTGAGTAGTGACTTCTACAATAAAACACAACAAAATCCAAAACTCTCACACTTCTCCTTAGGATTGGCAACCCGCTGTATCATCAAGAGATTGTAATGTACCTTGCCAAGAGCACACTTCCCAGTATTCTTCAAGGCAAAGTATGGCCTTATAACTAAGGATAATATCATGTAACCATAAATTGTTGGGACAGACTTTTGGAATGTCTCCGTAAAGGGGGGATATTAACAGGGGTAAGAGCTTACTGATCCTCTCCCATTTCTCTTCCCTGCTACATCAAATAAAAATACTAGATGACTGAAGCTCTAATAACCCTCTTGGGCCAAAAGGCAATCTTGGAAATGGTAATCGTGTGCTGGTTGGTAGACCTGAAACAGGGATAAGCTTGCTTAGGTCCCTGATGACTTCATGCAGTCAGCACACTAGCACTGGGTACTGCCAACATCCGACTTTCTTTAAATGGGGAGTAACTCCTTCTTTACTCAGCCATTCTTATTCTGAATTTTCTGCAATAAGCAAGCAACTCTAATTCTAATGCAAACATAGCACCATGTTCTCAAATCTTATCGGCCTCAACCCCAACAGTTTTATGTACTCTCCTTCACTCACCAGTCATTCCATAACTAACTCTCAAACTGCTGTGCCACCAAAATCAATGTATCACGAAATTACTCTCTAAACGCAGTTTCCTTTTTTCCAACATTCAACTATACACAGTGCTATAGGGTTCCAGTTCACTGACCCCTCTCTACTTCTTCATTATAGTTTTCTTTCCTATAACTTCCCTCTGCAACCAGCTTTGATGTTACAATATATTTTTTAAGAATTTTATTGTACTATCTCTTTTTCTTTTTTCCTTTTAATTTTTATTTTAAAACATGGGGTACAATCCAGGGTTAGGTATACAGATATTCACTGTGCAGGGACCCTTATTGATGAGGTATGTGACCCCCCTTCCCCAGGCAGTTATCGACCACTTTCAAACCCACCTCCCCATCCCCCCACCCCACAGTTTCCCGCTTTCAATCCTTTTCTTATAGTAATATGGTAGTTGTTTAAGGACCACTTATGAGTGAGAAGGTGTAATATTCAGTTCTTTGTTTCTGTCAGAGATCATTCAGTATCATAAGCTCT